CGGATCGTCGTTTGATGGTAAGAAATTAAATTTATGGGTGCTATTTGTAAGAGAATTACTGATCACTTTTTGATCGAACTGTAGGTGGTGGCGGCGGCTTCCATCGTAATGGACATGATGCCAAGAGCTTCATTGGTGTAGGGGGAAAAGGAGGTTCAGGATATCTTCAGGGAGGAGAGGGTGGAAAGTTTGTTAGTGGGTTCGGAGGTGGCGGTGGTTTACTTATTTTCAACACAGGACCTGGCGGTGGTGGTGGTTACACTGGGGGAGGTGGTGGGGCTAATGATGATATTTCCTGTGGGGGAGGGGAAGGATCTTTTAACAATGGAACAAATTAACAAAATGAATGTTGTTATAATGGCGCTGGTCATGGTTGGGTAAATATTACATTTCTCCAATGAAGAGCACATAGCAACTCCTGTTAACGTGTACAGAAAAAAGTTGTGGGTCAGTTCTTTATATTTTTGTGCATTTCAATCACCCTATTTCCTCGAATAATCCCCGGGCTCTTAATTAAAATCTGAGCTTAAGGGGGAGGGGGGCGCTTATTAAGAAACTATTCTAGCAGAAGCTTAATAAGTTACATACGAAATAGAAACAGACACAGGTTTTCCACGTATCCAAACTGTTTGACAAAATGAGAAAAAAGGAGGGGGGTGCTTGTTTGATTTTAGGGGCTAGGGGTTAGCCACTTATTGGGGAAGGGGGCTTGTTGAAGCGTTAGTGGTTATTCGAGGAATACGGTATTACATATATCTAAAAATTATTTTCAGTTGACCAAGAAAGTTTATTATGAAATCCCTTTTTTTTCCTTGATCAGCTCAAAACTAAACTCAATTTTTAATATTCACACAACCAGTTTTGCCCCTTTTTCTTTGTTTTTCCGCCCTTTGGGCCGACTGAATTTCCTCTTGTAAATTATCCTCAAAAATAGGGGTTTGGTTTGTGTTACGTATGGCGTCCTTGGTTACTATCACCAGAATCCCCATGTTAAATGTTAAATTTAGTGTTACGATTTCCAATCAATTGGAAAACGTCCTCCTTCACCTCTAACGGTTTTCTGCAAAATGGAAAACCGGCACAAGTTTGATGCCAACTTGTAGATGTAAACATGATTAATGTTGTGTTCCCTGAAGTATAAAGGGGGGGGGAGGGTAACAAAGAATATATTTTACAGATAGAGATGACTGAAATACATGAAATACGCTCGAGTTAACCGAGTTTGAGTTTGCAGCGTTCTAAAACGAGACTCGGTCATCGTCTCAGTGGTCAGGATGAATAATTCCAGATCTGTTTCTTTTTCCATAATGCAGGGTATAAGAGCAGCTATATAAACCAAGGTGATGGCACGTTCAATTTTACGAAAAATCTTATTGAGTTGTTAGATTGTTATTTTTATGTCAACATTTAGAATAGTTTTTCAGAAGGCTCTTGTGCTCTTTCACTAAAGTGGAAGAGAATGCTATAATTGGCACACAGAGAAAGGACGTTTGTGCTTGATAACGACTAGAAATCAAATGTTTTGAAAATTTTCATGCAAAAAATCTTAGAGAATTTCTTTGTAGGAGATATAGAAAGGATCTCTCAGTTTTTAGTGTTGACAGAATAGTACTTGCTCATAACCTTAATTTAAGGCACTATGGTAACATGCGGATAACCACAGTTGATTGTAGTCAATAAACTGATTTTTATTCGCCATTGATAGTTGTTTTGTTGTTGTTATGTCAGAACTCTGATTATAGTCTTGAGACTTCTGTAGTATCCAAGCGAAATTCCTTTGCAATTGGCTATCTTCAATAGGGCACAATAACTAGCGAGAAGATGGGTTACTTTCAGTCTCCTTCGCAGCCATTCTCTGGACGTAAGAGACTGAGCGACCTATAACTACCGCGAATTTAACGAAATGAATGACAAAATTATTTTGAGCGTTTTTTTGACACTGCTGTAGTTGTATCAAATTTAACTTTAATTTAAACACCGACAACTGTTTCTTTCTCCCACGGGCCAAAAAAGAGAATACAGTAAACACGAAATAAACAGCCTGTTTCTAAATAGTGTTTATTTCACCCATAACATTTACCGGCCTGTTCTTGTATTTCTCGGAGATTTCTTGAGAAATCTAAAAGAGGAAAATGGATTATGATAAAGACATGGTTGAAAAGGCGGCAAGATACATATTTTACACACTCAGAACAGGTGACACGCAGGACCTTCACGCAAACTTGTGGAACATGTCTATACTCGAGATGCACATTTTTACTAAAAGCTTTTTAACTCCTGTCATCTGAAATAAGACCTGGCCCATTACTTTCCCAAGGCGCTACTAGTCATAAGTAGCTCATGATGGCCGTAGTCCTGCAACAAATAAATAATCAAATGAATAATTATGACTTTCGAAGAGTTAGCGCACGCTAGCATTTAGTCCTTTGCACCGGCAGACGATACAAGCTACTGCTCGAAACGTCAAATCGTCGAAACTTAACACGTGTACGGCTTTTTATTTCCAAATTGATGACAAACTTCGTGCTTCCCCTGCCTGCCGACACAACACAACAGATTCCACTGAAAGTAAAAACTTTGCTGTCTTACTTGTTCTTGAAGTTCTCTTGTTTTAGTTATAATAATTTCAAGTTTAGGTTCCAAGTCTCTCTGTTCTATGGTGGCCGCCTGTC